GGGACCTGCCCCACGTTGGGCACCAATGGGTTATGGGATGAGCCCAACGTTGGGCGCCACCCAATGGGTGATGGGACCTGCCCCACGTTGGGCACCAACCGATGATGGGAGGGACCTGCCCAACAGGTGATGGGACCTGCCCCACGTTGGGTACCAACGGATGTTTGGGCACCAATGGGTGATGGGATGAGCCCCACGTTGGGCACCAATGGGTTATGGGACCTGCCCCACGTTGGGCACCAATGGGTGATGGGACCTGCCCAACAGGTGATGGGACCTGCCCCACGTTGGGCACCAATGGGTGATGGGACCTGCCCAACAGGTGATGGGACCTGCCCCACGTTGGGCACCAATGGGTTATGGGATGAGCCCAACGTTGGGCGCCACCCAATGGGAGATGGGACCTGCCCCACGTTGGGCGCCAACCAATGGGTCATGGGACCTGCCCCACGTTGGGCACCAATGGGTGATGGGACCTGCCCAACAGGTGATGGGACCTGCCCCACGTTGGGCGCCAACCAATGGGTCATGGGACCTGCCCCACGTTGGGCACCAATGGGTGATGGGACCTGCCCAATGGGTGATGGGACCTGCCCCACGTTGGGCACCAATGGGTGATGGGACCTGCCCCACGTTGGGCACCAACCATGGCCATCCATGGGCTCATGGGCTACTAGAGATGTCCCCAACCTTGTCCCCTCCCCACAGGGTGACTCTGGTGGCCCCTTGTCCTGCAACGGGACCCTCCAGGGGTTGGTGTCCTGGGGTCTCCAGACCTGTGCCCTGCCTGGGCGTCCTGGGGTCTACACCAGGGTCTGCAACTACGTGGGCTGGATCCGTCAGACCATGGCCACCAACTAGGAGCTGGCCACCAAGGAGGAGCTGGCCACCAGTGGGGGGGACAGGGGGGACATGGGGATGGGCCACCATGGCCACCAGAAGGAAGTTACGGAGCTGGGCCACCATGGATGACGAGCAGGGGGGACACAGACATGGACCTGGACCACCAAGGACTTGGGCCACCAAGGACTTGGGCCACCAAGGACTTGGGCCACCAAGGACCTGGACCACCAAGGACTTGGGCCACCAAGGACCTGGACCACCAAGGACTTGGGCCACCAAGGACAATGACTAAGGGGACACAGACCTGGGCCACCAGGGATGATGACTAAGGGGACACAGACAAAGACAAGAGACCTGGTCCACCATGGAGGACAACGAGGAAGACACAGACATGGACCTGGGCCACCAGGGGGCTGGGCCACCATGGAGCTGGGCCACCATGGACCAGAGATCTTGGCCACCATGGACCAGAGACCTGGGCCACCATGGACCAGAGATCTTGGCCACCATGGACCAGAGATCTTGCCCACCATGGACCAGAGATCTTGGCCACCATGGACCAGAGATCTTGCCCACCATGGACCAGAGATCTTGGCCACCATGGACCAGAGATCTTGGCCACCATGGACCAGAGATCTTGGCCACCATGGACCAGAGATCTTGGCCACCATGGACCAGAGATCTTGGCCACCATGGACCAGAGATCTTGGCCACCATGGACCAGAGATCTTGGCCACCATGGACCAGAGATCTTGGCCACCATGGACCAGAGACCTTGGGCCACCATGGACCAGAGATCTTGGCCACCATGGACCAGAGACCTTGGGCCACCATGGACCAGAGATCTTGGCCACCATGGACCAGAGACCTTGGGCCACCATGGACCAGAGATCTTGGCCACCATGGACCAGAGACCTTGGGCCACCATGGACCAGAGATCTTGGCCACCATGGACCAGAGACCTTGGGCCACCATGGACCAGAGATCTTGGCCACCATGGACCAGAGACCTTGGGCCACCATGGACCAGAGATCTTGGCCACCATGGACCAGAGACCTTGGGCCACCATGGACCAGAGATCTTGGCCACCATGGACCAGAGACCTTGGGCCACCATGGACCAGAGATCTTGGCCACCATGGACCAGAGACCTTGGGCCACCATGGACCAGAGATCTTGGCCACCATGGACCAGAGACCTTGGGCCACCATGGACCAGAGATCTTGGCCACCATGGACCAGAGACCTTGGGCCACCATGGACCAGAGATCTTGGCCACCATGGACCAGAGACCTTGGGCCACCATGGACCAGAGATCTTGGCCACCATGGACCAGAGACCTTGGGCCACCATGGACCAGAGATCTTGGCCACCATGGACCAGAGATCTTGGCCACCATGGACCAGAGACCTGGGCAACCATGGACCTGGGCCAGCATGAAAAAAGGTGGGCGGGGCCTCCAGGGAAGGGGGAGGGGCCAGGTCCAAGCTGGTGAAGGTCCCTTGAGGAGCACTCAACGGTTGGAGGCACCAAGGCAGGTGGAAGCACCAAGGAGAAGAAGGGAGGTGAAGAACGGGCCAATCAGAGCAAGGCACGATGGGCGGGGCCTCGTGGGCTGAGCCAATCGCTGGAGGACACGCCCAGGTCATGACCTGCCCCATTGGGAAGGTCCAAAGGCAAGTTTGGGGGAAACATGGATGGTCAAAGGTCTCCAAGAAACCAAGACCAATCACCAATGATCAACCAAGGTCTCCAAGACCAACCTGACCAATGGTCAATCAAGGTCTTGAAGACCAACCCAACCAATGGTCAACCAACGTCTTGAAGACCAACCCAACCAAAGGTCAACCAAGGTCTCCCAAGACCAACTCAACCAAAGGTCAACCAAGGTCTCCAAGAAGCCAAGACCAACCTGACCAATGGTCAACCAAGGTCTCCAAGACCAACCCAACCAATGGTCAACCAAGGTCTCCAAGACCAACCCAACCAATGATCAATCAAGGTCTTGAAGACCAACCCAACCAATGGTCAACCAAGGTCTCCAAGACCAACCCAACCAAAGGTCAACCAAGGTCTCCAAGAAGCCAAGACCAACCTGACCAATGGTCAACCAAGGTCTCCAAGACCAACCCAACCAATGGTCAACCAAGGTCTCCAAGACCAACCCGACCAATGGTCAACCAAAGTCTTGAAGACCAACCCAACCAATGGTCAACCAAGGCCTCCAAGGCGCCAAGACCAACCCAACCAATGGTCAACCAAGGTCTCCAAGGCACCAAGACCGACCCAACCAATGGTCAACCAAGGTCTCCAAGGCACCAAGACCGACCCAACCAATGGTCAACGAGCCTCAAGACCAGGTTGACCAATCCCAGAAGGCCCCGGGTGGGAGGGGCTGAGCTCACCATGACGTCATCACTGACGTCACCTCCGACGCAGAAGATGCAGCTTCAAAGAACCCGGAAAACGTCCCCAAAATGCAACAAATCCCCCCCCAAAAAAGACCCGGATGTGATGACGTCATGGG